TATTAAAATACTGATTCGCTACTGTCTCTAATCTTTCCTCCCCGACCTTAAAAGCAGTGCCGGTGGTGTTATTTGTCATCAATGATGTCTTTTCTGCACTGATTTGCAAGCCAAAGGACATATCAAAAGACTTTATTGAATTAGAAGACGCATCACCACAAGCATAACTGGAAGTCAACAACCAAAAATCAAAATACATACCTATAATCCGACCAGTTGTAACATACGCAAGTGAAACTTGGATCCTAACAAAAATGGCTGAAAGCCTATTAAACACATAGGAGAAAAAAGTTCTCTAGAAAATATATGGACCAACAAAAGATCAATATGGTTGGAGAATATAAATCAACCAGGAATTGTATGGTCTATATCAGGAGCCCACGATAGTAGCAGAAAGGAAAAAAAGGGTAGGCTACGCTGTGCAGGAGTGAAGTGGGTACATCATCAAAGCCCTAGAGGAAACTGGCTCAAAGGCAGACCTAGGCATAGATGGATGATGTGGAAAAAGATCTACATTAGCTTGGAATCCAAGCATGGAAGCTCAAAGATCAGACCATTTTTTTGCAGACCTTTATGTTATTGTCATTGTTATTGTTATATAGTTTTCAGGGGTGCCCAAACTGCTTACCATAATTATTTTTTTTAAAAACTTTAATTAATTATTCCTTAAATTAAAAAAAAAAAATCTCTTGATGCTATCTTCAAACATGACACCCGAAATGTAACTGAATTGGTTGGGCCTCTTAAAAGTCACTGGGTCCCAGACCAATGACTAAACTAAATAGAGATTATTTGACTGTTGTTGTTGTTCGTCCGTCCGTCGAAATCGACTAGGACCATCGAGTCATCCGGTTGGGGGGGGGGGGTGTTGGGTTACGGTGAGCTCGTAGGTGGCTTGCTAGTCCGATCCGTGATCGGAAAAATCTCTGGCACCGCGGGCAGGGGATAGTCGCTGCAGTCGGTGATCTAATATTGCTCTTTCGGGCTAACCTGCGTGTCTAAGCTGTGGTTATCCTACTGGCTTCGTGAGATTTAGCCCCCCTTCTTGACAGTTGTTCTCCACCTATCTCTGTCCTGGACTGTCTGCACCCATTGCGTAGGGTTGATGCTGAACGCCTTTAGTGCCACTTTTAGTGAGTCTTTGTAACGCTTTTTTTTTTAAACCTCCTTGGTAACGCTTGCCTATCGTGAGTTCTCCGAAGAATAATTGTTTTGGGAGCCGGTGGTCTTCCATACGGGCTACGTGTCCCATCCAACGGAGTTGAGTCTGCATCAGGATGGTGAAGATACTAGGTAGGCACGATCAAGCGAGGACCTCTGTGTCAGGAACTTTGTCTTGCCCCCTAATGCTGAGGAGTTTCCTGAGGCAGGTAGTGTGAAAATGATTCAGTTTCTTGGCGTGACGCTGGTAGTCTGTCCACGTTTCACATCCATAGAGCAATGTCAAGAGGACTGCTGCGCTATAGACCTTGATCTTCGTTTCTCTTCTGATACCTCTCCTGTTCAAAATAGTGCTGCGGAGCCTGCCAAATAGGGCACTAGCTTTTGCGAGTCTGGCATTCATTTTATTATCCATGACGACAGATCTAGAGAGGGTGCTACCCAAGTAAGTAAATTTATCCACCGCATTAAGCTGCTGTCCGCTGATGATGATGTTGGGTTCAAAGAAAGGGCTTACTAGGCGCTGGATGATACATCACCTCAGTCTTCTTTGTGTTGATTGTGGGGCCAAAGTTATTGCAGGCCTCAGAGAAGACATCAACGATGTGTTGCATGGCGGCTTCTGGGGCAGCGTTGAGGGCGCAATCGTCCGCAAACAGAAGCTCGTTGGTGGTGTTATGTTTGACCTTGGTTTTAGCTTGAAAAACTGATCCGTCGATGCGAAACCGGACTGTCAAGCCCGTGGTGGAGTCCTTGAACGTGTCAGAAAGCATTGCAGAATAGATAGTACTGTAGAGTGTGGGAGCCAGGACACAGCCCTGCTTCACACCGTTAGTGATAGGGAATGCTTGAGATAACTGACCGTTGTCCTGCACTCAGGCCATCATGCCATCATGCAGCTGACGGAACTTGTCTGGGCATCCGTACTTCTTCATGATTTTCCACAGGCCACTTCTAGTGACCCTGTCAAAAGCCTTATTCAGGTCGATAAATGTGGAATATAGGTCCATATTTTTGCTCGTGACATTTCTCTTAAAGCTGCCTGGCAGCAAACACCATATCGATAGTTCCGCGTTCTTCGCGGAAACCGCATTGACTTTCGGGTAGGAGACCAAGCCCCGGATGTGCATTCAAGAGGTTCAGAAGGGCTTTGGGGCCAAGATTATTTGACTATCCATTTAATAAGCAATGAGTATCAGCATCCGAATTCACTTTCACTAAATGAGACCTACTACTTACCAAGTCAGATTTGGTATCATCCAGTTTAGATCATAACAGAACTATAAATAAATTATATAATATAAATTATAAAAAGTTATAGTTTTTAGCGTAGGCCTACAATTAATGCCATTATTTGCACTGCATGAAAATGTCAAAATAAACAAGTTATTTAAAAAGCTAGCCTTTTTCTGTAGGCCCTATATGATTTTAACGGATACAATTACTTTGAATTCATTTTTTTTTTGAAACTATATTTTAAATTGTCATGTAGGCTTACTTTGCTTTGCATACCGGACAAGACACCATAGTGTCCATAGCCATAGACTTGGACTGCTTCTCCGCCATGTCAAAACCATTATGGGTAACACATTTTAACATGTTCTCTGCTTCAAACTTTAGTGTCGTAGTCGTAGAGTTGGATTTGGTTTAGTACGTTAGTCAACAGATCAATATCAAAATTAATTTTTTAGTTTTATTAAATCTAAAAGAACAAAATTATTTCAGAATAAAGAGATTTCATATTTATTAATTCTTTTTTTAGAATTATTTAACTCTAATTTAAATATATAATTAGTTAATCCTTTTTTTTTTTTCATCGACGTGAAACAACGAATGAAAAACAAGTCAGAAATCTAGGCATTAAAAAGACGTGTTCAAAAGTTTCGCCGTGCAGAGGTACCAACGCGTCCTTGTGTGCATCACACTGTAAGTGAGAGGACCTTAAACGAAAATATCAAGTCACATGATCAATACAAAGATCGTGTGACTAATTTTTGCCCTAAAAAAAATATTACCATGGTTTATCTAGTTCAGCGGTTCTCAACTTGTGGGTTGCGACTCCTTGGGGGGGGGGTCGAACGAACCTTTCCCAGGGGGTCGTCAAAGACCATCAGAAAACACATATCCTCTATAGTTATGAAGCAGAAACGAAAATAATTTTGTGGCTGGGGGGGGGGGGGGTCGCCGTAACACGAGGAACTGTATTACAGGGTCGTAACATTAGAAAAATTGAGAACCACTGATCTGATCTGACCTGCGGGTCGTTGACACGAATCATGTCATTATAGCCTGCTACGTGGGGTCTGATAAATTCGGTCAGTTAAACAATCCGTCCAGGATACAAAGATCCCTCTAGTTTTCATAAATATATTTTCTGACAACTATCGTGGCATATTGGTGGTTGGGAAGGGGGGGGGGTAAATGGGACTGCCACCCTGGGTGTCAACACGGGTGGGGGGTGGCTGAAGGGTATCTATTGGATATATAATATATCGGACTTTATTATAGGGGACGTTCATAAAATAAGTCAAGCTGTTTTTTTTTTTTAATAGAATTTTTAACCTCTCACAACCCCGTCACAAACCTCAAGTCCCCCCCCCC